TTGATGTTGGCAATGATCACGCGTGTCTCAAATCGTCCGAACTTAAGTAAACAGCAAGTCCCTCTTTGACTACCTACTCTTAAGTAAACAAGTCCCTCATTGACTACCTACTCTTAAGTAAGCAGCAAGTTGATTACCTACTCTAAAGTACCGCGTTGATTACATCGTCCAGCCGTTTTTATCCAGGTTAGGTTAAGTTCACTATTGTAAAACCAAGTGATTGAAGGAAATCTATCTTTTTGGCTGAAACCGTCTAAATACACGAGGACGGGTGTCATGGACTTCAAATTCTATGGTAGCTGTCCTAACGCAAGGTGAGTTATATTGCCCAGCATCGTTCATCACCACCCCTTGAGCAGCCGACAATATCCTTGCGCGAGTGCTATTAAATTGTTCTTGTGTATGGAGTTGTAATACGCGAGGTCTACAAAATATAAATATGTTGTCATTATGACTGGGCAAAACAACTGAAGCTACCGGCTGCAACATAAAATTTTGCGGTATCTTATATTATTGATTTCTGAGCGGTACACATTTGCACTCACGCAATTTTGCGGAGACGTGTTTTACCTCTTAACATAGTAGACTTGATTTGTGATTGATTTTGTGTCATTTTGAAACATCTCCAAAGTTTGTGTTTTAAGAATGGATTCACCCCTCCCTAGACGGTGAATTTGGCCCTTCGGGTTGGACAGCTTTACTTAGCAGCTGTCCCATGACAACCCTACGTTTGATCGAGTGTCCACCCTTCCGTTGTCTCACTTTACAACTCGCATTCTAGTAGTCAAACCATTCCTATCGACACGAGCTCAATGCGCCTAAGTATCATCATTTTGGTGCTATCATCGGTCTGTTTCGCACCCCGCACTAGCTCGGCTGCAACTGACCAAGCAACTTCTGCAAGATTTCTTCGGGGCTACGAGACAGCGGACGTCGAAGAAAGAGCTCCGACGATAAAGGGAAAGTGGCACTGGGGCCCCTTCTCCAGTGCAACTTGGGAGAAAATGCTTAAAGACAGCACGTATCGGACGAACATGTTCAAGAAGTGGGACAACTACCAATATGAGACAATCAAGGCGAGAATTGGAGAAGAAATCATCCAAGGAAACGAGGATCTTGCCAAGATGATACTGAATTATGTTCAAAACCACCGCGTCTACACGTAAGAGGTTGCTGCTGATGACGAGAAGCTAGTAGAGTGGAAAGCACATTGAATGAATGCAGGTTTGCGCATTAACCGTTGTGATGAAGATCGCAATTTAAAAGAGGGATAGAGATGAACACATGATGGAAGGAGGAATAAACGCGGTTGTGCTCAGCCGGAAATGCTGATACATAGCTGTTTGCGACTTGCGTCTCAGATTGACCAGTCCATTCGTAAGTATTTATCACCAGTGCACTCCCGGCAGAGTCTTGAATCTCGTGGCCGTGTCGCTAAACCGTATTCGCACCAAGACAGGGGTCGAAATGTGTGAAGTACACTTACAAAACAACAGTAGTACTGCAAGTGATCCGCGTAAGTTAATTCTGAATGTTCACCATTTATCTAAAAAGGTGTAGCTGCACGTGAAATTGTTGATAGCGGCTCCTTGTAACGAGCTTAAAAGTTTCAGATTGTGGAGCCTTAATACATACCTACAACTATATATATTGTCTTCCAGAATCGTTATAACAACGCACAGTCTCAGGTAATATAATAGCTTTTTCACTATAAATAAAGAGGACTTATGTAATGTTGTCGCAGTGGCTGTTGGTACAGCCGCTGCATGAACAATGAGGCTGATATGGCTTCTTCATCCGCAAGTCTACTGGTACCCGTTCGTGATGGCTGCTAGCGTTTGTTCTTATCCCACAGCAGTGTGTTGATCAGTGGAGTCTCAAGTGGAGCTCCACTTACATTGATTCTGTCTTTAGATTTTGCTCATTCTGTATTTTGCTCAATACAACTCAGCTACTCTGACAACTCCGTGGTCCAACATTGTAATTGGTAGCACTTGTTG